CCTTTGGTATCCATTTTTAAAGACAGTTACCCAAAAGATTTTATTATCTTTTATTTTGTACCCTATGATTAAGACAAATAAAAGACACGAATGATGAATATATGAAATATATGACAAAAATATAAAACGTATGAATGCACAAATGTATAGATGCACGGTTGAGTGACGAGGTTTTGTGTTAAGTATCCTTAGAAGATAGGTTCCTTAATTTTGACCTACGGTTGATCTACCCTCCCAGAAGGTGGTTTCCTTAAGGGTATCATGAATAACACCAGAGGGAAAAGGCACAAGGGCCTCCCTTAGGTAGAGCCTCTTTACGGACCGAGACTTCCGTCTAAAAGTCGTGAAAGGTATCATCATGAGATTTTAGGTTAAGGTCGTTACAAAGATTCATGGGTGTCCTTCCAAAGTCCTACTCGTTAAGAGGATATCTCTCGATAACTATTCCTTTTTAGGAAGTCCACCGACTCTAGGCGAAGTCGTCACATAAACTCGCAGGGATGATGTACCCCCTAAGCTAATAGACGAACCTTCTTTCTAAGGGTTATTGAATTTTTTTTTTGAAATAAAAATTCCCGCCACGCACTAAATATATGATGATAAGAAAAATTGACAATAAATAAATAAATGAAAGCAATAAATAAATAAAGCAATAAAAACCCCAAAGCAAAAATCCCTAAAACCTAAAGTTGAATTCCCCAGCAAAGTCGCCAGCTGTTGCGACTGGTTTTTAAATCAGAGCCACCACTATTAGTTTTTATCCTAGGGAAGGAAATCTAACAGAAAACCCTAATTCGCAGACAGAGATTCTAGGTTTCGGACTTCTTTAGACGAAAGGAAGGTGTTCGGAACCTTTCATCTACCTTGTTCACAAGGATACTAGGTTTTAAGTTTGACGTTGGGGTACACAAGGTTTTAAGTTTATTAGGGCAACTCACCATGATTTTTGATCGTAAGCCTACGTATCCTCTTATGAGGAATCAGAGTCCCAATTCGTAGTTCGTATGGGGTTGGTGTTTTTTAGGGGTTGCAAATGTATTTTGAATCACCTCATATTTGATCGATTGTAGTGATTGCGGAGATTTTGGCTAAATGCGCGATTAGTCAAAATTCGTTTGAAACCCCTTTGCAAAAAAGTTGTTTAGATTAGTTTGTTGAAAAAAATAGTTTGATGTTGGTTAGTATTTTTTAATCGTATCGACTGTGAAATTCTTAATTAATGCATGATATAAAATTTTTAATACAAATAATATATGGATTTTTGAATAAAATAAGTTACATGTTAATAAATAATATTAATATTTACACATGGATAAGAAATAAATAATATTTATATAGTAAATAAAATAATAGTAAATAGAAAATGAAATTGATAGATAATAATAATAATAATAATAATAATAATAATAATAATAATAATAATAATAATAATAATAATAATATTAAAAAATATGATAATTAATATTATTAATAATAATTATAAATAGAAAATAAATAATATGAGGGAAAATATAATTAAAAGTAAAAAAAATAATAATTTAATTATGATCTAGGGATGTGTATTTTTATGTTAATAAGTAAAACAAGGGGTTTGACTAGAGATCTGGGCTAAGCCCAACACAACTTTGACAGGGGGGTGTTGTTTGCTGTGCGTTTTAGTGAAAGTGGTAAAGCGGGTGCAGAAAGAGACTGAGATTGGCCCAATACAAATTTTGCAGGCCTACGCGATTGAGTATTGTGAGGCGCATGGAACTTATGATGGACCTAGCCTTACGACCATCCATCAACAGTCAAATGGACAAAAAACGAAGAGTAAATGTGAATTACTATAGGCGCGCGCGTACTTGATCAGACTGAATATAAATTATTATTTTTCTTTTTGTTTATCATATTTACAGTTTCATTTCACGGTAACCCTCTCTCTCTCTCTCTCTCTCTCTCTCTCTCTCTCTCTCTCTCTCTCTCTCTCTCTCTCTCTCTCTCTCTAACCACTTTTTTCTTCTTCGCGTTAACCCTAGCGTCCAACCCTACCGCGGCGCGTCCATTGTTACAAACCCACAATCCTTAAACAAGATCAAAGCAAAACAAAAAAAGTTGAGTTCAATTTTTACCCCTTTGTGTGATTTGCTGGTATTCTGAGTTTGCTCCGATTTGGCTAATCCCTTGTTCTCCTTCTCTTTTTTCAGGTGGCCGTGGCGGTGATAAGAGGCGGAAGATGATGGTTGTGCGACGGTAGAAGGCGCGGTGGGGAGGCGATGGCTTACATGGTTAGGATTTCAGAAGTTGAAACCCCAATCGTCCTCTTTCAATCTTCGAGCAATTTCGGGCGCGACTTCAACGACGATTCTCGGTTCTTCTCAAATCCGACCCTTCCGTATATTCTTTGCCCCCCGTATTTTCTCCTCCCTCTCTGTATATCAGTCATCACCTCTGTCTCAAGCTTTTTTCCTTTCTTTGTTAATTTTGTTTTTCTTTTATAGGCTAAATTCTCTAGGTTTAGCTGTTACAAATTATTAACACAAATTTAGGGTAATTAGAACAATTTTAGGGATTTTGATTTATGTTAATTGATTTTGTTAGAATTTGTAATTGATTGAGTAATATATTAGATTTTTTTTATTGTGATGTAATTTTCGGATTTGATTTGTAATAGGGATTTGAATTGTAGATTCGATTTAGTTTCTTTTGGATTTGTTTCTGTAAAAGAAGATGATGATTCTGTATATTGTAATCTGGAGGTTTGATTTAGTTAATATGCAATTTTCTGGATTTAATTCATACGGTAATTATTGTTTGAAATGTGCGCAACTCTTGGCTTTGATTGGAACAATACCTGTTTGTATTATTGGACCTATCATAGTTGTTATTTCATTCAGCGGGCATTTTTTTTCAAATACAGACTGGACCTTGGAACTGTTTTCAAAACCTGATCCAATATCTTTCTAAACCACACTCTTTAATAACTAAATATATAAATAATTATAACGAAAATATTATGGTAATAAAATTTTTTTATCAGTAATATATTGCGTTTTTCCTTATAACAAAGAAATTTATTATTATTATTTTTTATAATAATAACAAACAATTTTAATACTTAATACTTCCTAATATTTTAATAAACAAAAATTAAATAATATTTAATGAAACTCTTATTATAAGAGATTAACAGTAAAACAATAAATATATTTGTTTTATCCAAATCTTAACGGGCTTGCAACTTGTAAATACACCCTCCTCTTGTTATTTGCCAACATGAAATGGAAATGGGTCAACATGAACCATTCTTAAATAGATTAACGAATTAAAGACCTAATAATTATTATTCTTTTGAAATAATTTTCATTTTTGAATCACATGGGCCATTGGCCAACATGCTTCGTAAATGGACCTACGGATACATGGATTTTTCTAATTAAAATATACCCCTGAGTCGACTTAAATTTAAGAATACGCCATTAGATACTGCTGTACCATTCTTAATTAAATAATTCTCTTCTATTTTAAATCTTGCAAATGTGATTATCGAGGTATGACAAATTTGGGGTACGACACATTTTACTACCCATGCATACCATACACACCCATAATATTAAGGATTCCCCCCTTACCTCTTGAAGATTCACCTCTAGGTTTTGCCTCTCCTCTCTTCCTCTTTCTCCTCTTCTCTTCTTGTTCTTCTTTTCTCTTCTTTTGTGTTATGACATAACAACTCTAATCTCTCTTCTTACTACCCTATTCTTTAATGGGCCTAATTCTATTCTTCACCATTCTATCATAATATAAGCCCAACTCACCATTATTTCTATTCTCACTCATAAACCAAAATATTCAAATAACACATATATTCAAATATTTCAAATAGTCACCAAAACACATAATTTAATTAAGTATCATATAATATAATAATAATAAAATAATTAAATAATACTAAATAAAAATCAGGATGTTACACTTTTGGTTGGAGACTTCTTGTTAATAGACTTCCAACAAAGGACTTTTTGACGTATAGAGGTATTGACTTTTCTATAGATTCTTTGAAGTGTTTTCTTTGTAGGATAGAGTTGGAAAATAAGAAACATTCTTTTTTTACGTGTAGTGTGGTTAAGACGATATGGAGGGATATAGTCATTTGGATAGGTAAAACGGAAGAGATAGAGGAAGAGTGCCTCCCTAATTTTATGGGTTGATGTCTTTTTTGCTGTGTAAAAAAGGTCAAAGAGGGTAAATTAGGGGTTGTTTGGCTAGCAACTACTTGGATGTTTTGGTTGTTAAGAAATGGTGTTTGTTTTTGGAATGAGGAGTGAAATATTAACAATACGGTTTGGTGTATAAAAATTTTGGTTTGGAAGTGGTCTTTTTGTGAAAATATTACTCATTCTAATCATAATTCTTATGAGTTTAATAAAGATCCTTTGCTTTTTCTTTCGTAAGTCAAATTAATATGTAATTTCTCCTCTTTTATCTTATAATTCCGTTCTTAATGTAAATAGGTTGGAGAATCCTTAATTCTCCCTTATATAATATCTTGTTTACTCAAAAAAAAAAACGTGTAAACAACAACAATTTTAAAATAATATCAAATAATTAATCCATGAAAACCAAGACTAATGACATTAATTATCCAATTTATATAATATGTTAAATAAACTAAGAACCAGTTAAAGTGATGAGTATATTTTTAATATCTTTAATTTGGAAATCCAAAATAAATATTTTCTCTTACACAAATCCTACAAGTCATTATGACAATTTAATACCACATAATTCCTCCATGGTTTTTACATGATAGGAAAAGATAAACATGGAATTATTCATGAACACAGCATGTGCTTCAATATAATACATATAATCATAAACTACAAATAAACCCCAACAGAAAAAGCATCAAATAACTTAAAACATATTTTAACAAACATAGTTATAGATTTCATGAGCTTTTTAGGGTAGTTATGGCTTAGGCACACATAGAACAGTAAGCAGCTATGGCTTAGAACTTTTTAAGGTTGTTGTGCTGGCAATGCAGGAAGAGCAGGTAGTGCTGCTAGGGCAGGGAGTGCTGGTAGAGCAGGGAGTGCTGGCAGAGTGGGTAGTGTTAGTGGCAACTCAAGTTTGGAAAGTTGATGTATGTTTAGAAGGTTACGTGCTCCTTCAACATTTGTGAATGATGAAAAAGTTATGAGTAGAAGAAGTGGTATCATGAATGATAAAACATTGATGGAAGCCATTTTTTTTGAGCTAGAGAGATGAATACTAGTGTATGTGATGATTGTTTTGGTTGTTTGAAGTAATGCTTTATGTGTGTTGTGGCCTTTTATAGACTAAACTTTTGGTTTTCGATATCATGTGATTGTGAGGATTGGTAATGTGTGGTTTTGAAAATTTCTTTTGATTACTTTAATCTCTTACATATATGCATTAAAATATAGTTTAGGCATAAGTATAATAAAATCTAGATTTGACTATTAATAAGATTTTATTATTTCGATCATTTTTAATAATATAAAATAGAACATTAATTTTATATTATTGTTATTAAAAACATTTTTCATATTAATTAAAATTAAAATAATTAAATTAATATTTAAGTTATAAAAAATTATTTCTCTAATAGATGTTATTAAAAAAAGAACTTTTTAATATAATAATTGTATTTGTATTTATATAATTATTTAAGTATATTAATTATTCAATTAATTTAAAAATTATTTTTTTCGTAAATTAAAAACTAAAATGTGTGATATATTTATACATGAGTTAATATTGTGAACTCTAGTATAAATTTTAAAAAGTTGCATCTTAGAAAAAAAAAAGTGAATTATTCCAAGATAACATGGCACTGCGATCTTCCTTCAAAATACCAAAGTATGGTTGACCATTAGAGTATTCTAAATTTGAATGTCTCTTTCAATTATCCCCTTATAGATAATAGATTTAAAAATGTTAGCATTATTTAATAATAATAATAATAATAATAATAATAATAATAATAATAATAATAATAATAATAATAATAATAATAATAATAATAATAATAATAATAATAATAATAATAATAATAATAATAATAATAATAATAATAATAATAATAATAATAATAATAATAATAATAATAATAATAATAATAATAATAATAATAATAATAATAATAATAATAATAATAACAATAATAATAATAATAATAATAATAATAATAATAATAATAATAATAATAATAATAATAATAATAATAATAAAATGATATTTTCTTTTGAATTAACTACATAGAGCTATTTGTTTAATAGTTGATAATAAATTAGATTTTTTGATTTAGAGGGTTGACATAGAGATTCTTATAAAATATATCAATTTTATAAATTTTTATTAAAGAATTTCAATTGTAATTATGTAATTTTTTTTTTTAAATTTTTCTAATCAATTTTGATCTACATAATAAGTCTGTTAATCTGATTTTGTGATTCAAAAGGACGATTTATTAATAAAATTTTATTTTCTTTAAAAATTGAATTAGAATAGTATCTGAATTATTTGTCTTTATGTAATTGAATAATCGACATTTAATTATATAATTGAATAATCCATATTTAATTGTATTTTTTAAAAAATTTAGTATATATTCAATTGAAGTTAGATAAAGTATTAAATAGTTTTAAAAAATTTGTAAAGTAAAAACAAATTCTAGAATTAATCTTCTTGAAAAAATTAATTCAACAAAGATTTATGAAATCTTCCACCACTTAAATCTCTCTTGCTTTGAAGACTAATACACTACAATTTTAAAACATTAAAATATTATGTCGGTTGGTTGCAACCTAGTGTGTATTAATAGATAGCTACAACTAAGGGTTATTTATTTGTATTATGTTGTTGATTAATAGTAGTAGTTAGTTTTCTTTTTAATAGAAAAATAGATAGTGGTTACACATCCCTAATATTAGGAAATAGCTTTCTTAATATTTGAAGCTTCGGTTTCATTATGGATAGTCATTACTTTGACAATTATAATAAATCAACAACCATTTCTTTTATGGTATTAGAACAAATTAGTTTAAAAGTTTTATTTTTCTCCATCCTTCATTCATATCATCATAAAATTCTAATGTTTGAAATTTTCTAAGGAACACCCACGGTCTCATCACCAGCTGACAAATTAATTTTTTTTAATGTTGGTTGTCAATTATACTTCAAGCTTGATGGAAATAATTATTCTGCTTCGATAATTATGATCATGGCTCTCTTAAGAGGCTATGATCTTATAGGTTATATTGATCGAACTAAACCATGTCTATCAAAAAATATTATGATAATAATACTGTAACTGTTAATCCGGCCTTTACACATTGGCTTAAACAAGATTATCTTATTCTGCACAACATCATTTCTTATGTGGCTGCAACAGTGGTCACATATTTAAGTACTGTCAGTTATATTCTAATTTTCGATTTAAGATCCCACCTTCATTCGCATCTTCACATAACATCAAAATCATAAGCTGTGTTCGGCTCTTAACCCTTTCATCTTTGGATTTATCTTTACAAAAGTCGTCAAACACCCTTTGTGTGAGTTTTACCTTTATGTTTATTTTACTAACCTCATGGAAATACAAAAGGACATGCATTTAGTGTTTGTTTCTCTCTTACAAGATAAATGGTTAAACCAAAGAGTGCAGATTTTTCAAGACTAGGTGAATAAGGGTTTTCATTGTGGTTGAGGCAAACATTTGGATTAAAAGGATTCTTTCATATTTAGTTTCTTAGAAGTCATACACAAGTACAAAAAGGCGTAAGAGATTGACTTGTGGTTTCGTTTCACCAATACAACTATTAATTCTCATCAAATACTTGTGACTTCAATCACAAGTTAACTTCGATTTTGAGAATTAAAGTTAGGAGGTTCCTCAAGGATTTATCTGTGGAAAAATCATCAAGATGTTTGTTTGAAATGAAAAACATGATTCTTAAATCGCATGTGTATTCGTAATGGCAAGAGTGATTCAAGAAGGATCACGTGGTGTTTTGAGTATAAGCGTTCCAATTTATCAAAGATTATTTCAACAGTGCAAGTTCATAAAATTGTTCAAGATTTCAGGCATTATCCAAGACTTCTCTCAAAGTTCAAATTCAAGGACAATTTTTAAGACACATTCTAATTAGAATCAAATTCGAGTATTAGAAGTTTTCTTTTGATATTTCAAGTTTGAATTTTAAAGAATCACAAAGGTTCACAATACTACATGAACCATCCAAGTTATTTGATCAATTTCAAATCATCACCATTATTACTTTATTGTTTACATAAAAATTACACAAAGTACACAAGACTTAAACCTATCAAGAACTTTTGCCTTAGACCTAATCCTAAGTTCTCTTCAAGTGTTGTCTCCATCCAAATATGCCTCTGCTCCAAGACAAACTTGTTGTCTACTATTGTTTTCCTATGCACATCAGTCCATAAAACCAGTCCCTGTCCTGTTTGTCCTGCTACATAAAACCAAGCAAAACACTCCAAAAAAACTACTATGTTGCTATCCCAAAAACAGCCCTTGTTTTGCTGCTCCAAAACTTGTCACAAACATCCAAAGATTACATCAAAATGGCAATACAAAACTGCATTAATAGAACAACAAAACAACATATCATATACGTTCAAACTCATGAAGTCCCCCCCCCCCCCCCCCCCCCCCCAAATTTCACCTCTTCACCTATAAATAAAGCAACTCAGAACAAAGAAAGGGGGAGAATCACAACAGAAACATTTAGAAAAATAGAGAGAAAGAGAGGAAGAATTTGAGAGAAAAATAACAGAGAAAAATAACACAAAATATTCCCAACCTGTAACAATCTTACAAAAAAACTTCTCATAACCTAACCTTCGAACTTCTCAACAGAAAATCACTCAAGAAACTCACTATTTTTCTGTTGAATCCATTCATTTGACTAGCCCTTTTACCCCTTTAGCTTTACTGTTCATCCTCGAATTCACATTCATTCACAAATCAAAGCCACAATCATATTCTCAACATTCATTTGATTTCAACACCACATGTAAATCAGTTCTCAAAGTGCACTCAGCAACATCATCATAGACGTGTTTTCCATTGACGTATTTGCAGCAACATGCAACAATTCATCAACGCTGCAATACTAACACGCATCCAACAACCACATATCTAAGAAGAAGAAGAAGAAGAAGAAGAGAAAATTGACAGAAAGAAAATGGGAGAATCGAGTCATACCTGAATCATACACCGGAGTATATCTCCTCTCCGTCGGTAAAAACTCATATTTTCATTCTTGTGGTAGATCCGCTAACTATTACGGTTTTTCTTTTTGAATATAACATATTCTATTTTTTTCTCCTTTCTGCTGTAACATAGAAACCGATTGTTGTTGTTATTATTCCGTTCCTTTAGTCATGAATTAGAGGAGAGTAAAATTGAGAACAACATAGGGTGAGACTGATCCATGAGTGAATGGGCAGGTGCGTCATGAAAGAGAGAGTATATAGTTGTTTCACCTTGAAAGAATGGAATAAGATAAACTGAGAGAGAAGGATGACAGATCGAGAGAGGAGGATAATAGATTTATGTGAGAGAAAAGGAAGCGATTGTGAGAATAAAGGAGGCAATTTCATTATCATGTAGATCAAGTTGCTACTGATATCGTTACTGCTAATGTTGTCACAAGAAATGGGTATCAATACAGGACCAACAATAATCGCGGCTCCTCCCCATACTCAATGAAAAGGTGAAAGAAAAATTGTTTGTCAGTTTTGTGACAAGCCAAGACATGTTGCTATGATCAGGCTGCAACACAACATCCCAGCTAGATAATGGATATTGGAGCATCTTATCATATTTCACAAGATCTACAACAACTTACTTTATATAATTCATATCCTGCAACATATCAGGTCATTGTTGGCGATGGAACAAGTTAGAAAATTACTCATAGAGGTAACTCTATCACTTACATCCCTGTTAAACCTCTTTATCTCAAACAAGTCATGTGTGTCCTTAAAACCCAGTCCAATTTGTTATTTTTTCAAAACTATGAAATCTAAAGCTTATTATTTTGAATTTTTTCCAAACCATTTTGTTGTCAAGGACTTGAATTCAGGTCAAGCACTACTCCAAGGTCCACTTAAAAATATCTCTATCATCTACCAATTAATATCATTCCATCACGTCCACCTCAAGAATTGCATACAAGCATTCATTATGCATTTA